CCTTGTATCACCCCACCAAGGCATCCATACTGACTCCTACCAAGGCTGCCCTCATCAGACAGTCAAGCGTGAGCGAGACAGTAGCCGACAGGAACCTCGTCACACATGAGGACGTAATTTGTACACTTGCAGAGCTGTACTCCCAGTGCATTCAAGGTAGTGATGTCTACAATCATGCATTCTTGCCTATCTTACCAACCCAATAGGTATAATTTGTTCTTGAACTTCTTGTATTAATCATGTGGTCCTTGATAGACATGTATGTTTCTTTATGTAACGTTACATTTATTTCCCACCTTACTCATAGCCAACCTTGCACCCAACCTGGCAGTAGAACTTCACTTCACTATCCAGCTACTTACCATAAAAGGTACCGGTGAGACTGGCCCACCAGCCAAGGAGAACCTAGGTAACTTTAACTTACTTTGTCCTCCATTGTCTTGCAAGAGCACATTATTTAACTTTCAGGGTGTTAGTTTGCTTACAACAAACTGTATTGTGTATTTCAGATGAAACTTTGTGAGCAGTACACCTCTAGATTAAGATGAAGGAAGATGATGAAGAGTTTGCTTTTGACATTTAAACATGGTTGTGATAGTTCTGAGATCAGTTAGCATGGAGTTGATGCATGTAGCTTGACTTGTTTTGCTATGGATATAGAAGAAATCACCCGTAAAAGAATCTAAATACACTATGGCATCTTAAGACATTCTTATGAGAACTGTACTTCCCTTCCAGCAGACCCTGAGGACACTAACTACCTGCAGTCTGTCCATAACTGTGTCCTGTTTGCCACTGTTGTTCTGGAGAAGCAACTCAGGTGAGTGGTCTGGGTTTAATTTGGACTAAATGTATATTTATTTCGCAGATGTATGTTCAAGGATTTACTGGTATTACTTGTAAATCATATTCCTTTGTGAGATGAGGCATTGGAATAGATGAATTATATTTAGATTAGATACTTTTAGAAAGGTGTTGTCTTTGTTTATTATAAATATTGATAATGATATAACAGTTTATTTTCAATACTTTATGATGTTCTCCTTTCTTAATGTTTCAGAATATTGTCACTGCTAGACAAGGGAACATTAAGACTTCTGGCTGATAACCCCAGGATAGGAGCATTCTCCCCCTCCCTGCAGCAGGCACTCATAACTGCAAATGGCACATGTCCCTTCAGGGTAAGGAACACACTTACACAAGCTTTATGTTTAAGAAAAGAAACATTAGCCCTGATTTTATGTGGCAGTATGGACAAAGGAATAGTCAATGACATTTTTAAGGGAACTATTTACATATATTTATTGTTGACATAATCATACTAGTAATTATATTGACTTAGAGAATATTTAACTTTAATTGTATGATATATGAGATGTGAGATGTGTTTGTAACAGACAAAGGAGCTGCGCACAGCCTCGCCCATCTCCAGTGTGCCCTTCCAGTCCGACACAGACAACAGACACAACTTCCCTAGTGACCACTCCTTCCACACTTTCAAGAAGACCAGGTAATGTATTTCAGAAGGTCAATTGATTCCTACATACAGGAAACATTTTTGCTCTGATAATGATTGCAATGTAAGGACAATGTCTTCAATTTTTTCACAATATTTCATGCACATCTAACAGAGACAAGTTCTATGAGCTGTTGAGGGAGTGGGAGGATGAACATCTGAAGCCTGACTGGTCCATGCAACTGGCTATGGGAGAAAGGATCAGGTAATACATATGTGCTGGGCATATTATTATTTCCTTCTGATATAGGGATTTCAAAACTACCTGTTGTTTTGTTTTGTGTGTGTGTGTGTGTGTGTGGTTTGATGTGTTGTACCAAGTAACTGATGACTTTTGTCCTCTTGTAGGATTTTGCTCCACTCAACAGCAGACTTTGCCAGTCTTATCCACTTTGCCCGTCTGTTTCAGTCACAACTCATCAGGGTGAGACAACTCAGTTCATGTGTTCTAGCCATAGTTTTTCAGGAATTACATTTTTTAGAAGTTGGCTACAGTACATAAGTAGGTACATATACATGTCATGCCAAAATTTAAAAAAAAACAGATGTCTCTAGGCATGTTGTTTGATGTGATGTTTGTTACATGTAGATGTGTAAAGGAGACAGCCTTCAGGACCAGGATGTGGAAGAGGACATTGCTCTGCTAACTGAGCTGAGGAAGTCAAACCCAGAGAAGCTGAAAAGGTAGTAGAGCTGGAGAACAAAGCCAGAGAAGAGTATGTGTGTGTGCGTGCACACATGTGCATGTGTGTGTGTACATGCATGTGTGTGCATGTATTTTTTCCTGTTTTTATACGTGGACAGTTTGTGCAAAGTTAGCACTTTGTAAGCCAATATTCCATCATCATTGTACATTGTACATTGTACATTGTACATGTTATTAAAAAAATTGTGTTGTTGATCACCGCTGTTATCCTTCCCTAGACTGCAGGAGAGGTTCATCACCCCCTGGAGGACAGGAGGACCGTGCCCCCCTCCCGCCTTCCCTGGACACCAGGAGTTTTTCAAAAACTTCCTACAGGCAGCAGCAAGGTTATCGCTAGCTACATTGCAGAACCATTTGCTTTTGTTATCTGGTGCTGTTCTAGTACATTTTTTCATGTTGTATCACAGTTGCTATAGAAATGTAAAAGAAAAAGTGTAATGTTACTTTACTGTATTGTAGTTTTAATGTTCTTTTGGCTTCGTTTCCCAGTCACGTCTTCAACCAACTGATAGTTGACAACTTCTCAGCTGAGATTCAAGAGGTAACTTTTTCAAAGGCTTTCATTACATCATGTTAATGTGTATGTTAAGTCCTCTTGCTAAAGCAGATGTTATGATGTTCTGTTTTACCCTTTACTTATGTGGTAAAGATCAACTCTCACAGTAAGTGTATCCCCTTTACAGCTTGACACCTCTCAATTCGGTCTGCCTGACAACACAGCAGACAGTGTTGACCAGGTAAGACATCAATATAGGTCTGTGTATTTTGCACATCTTGTTCTGTAAAATTATTGTGACTTCATTGCACTTTTCACAACTTAAAATTGAGATTTGTAGGTAGGGAAATTCCTTTCTACTACCTACTCCAGGAACAGAGAGACTCCTATGCCTCCTGCCTGCTGAACCTGAGAATTCTGGGAAAGTTCCTGGGTTTCATTGTCTTCCTGCCTTACCAGAGTCCACAGCTGCTGCCAGAGAGCATGATGGCCTCTGCACTCTCTGTCAGGAACAAGGTATAAGTCCTTATTAAATTTGACACATGCTAGAGAGCTGTTTAAGATTTCTTGTACAATTAAGAATTCAGGTAAACATGTTCACTCAATAATTACAATGTATCAAGGACCAAAGGCCACTAGAAAGTTACGGTTTACACAGATAGGTCTGGAGCAGCATCTCTTCCCCTAAGTCATGATCAATGCTCAAGACAAGCTCTACTCATTGTGAGTGTGTACTGACCCAGTAGGAGGTGCAGAGGCCACAAAAGCTGCTCAGGATCATCCTCTACCCCACTTTACTTTCCATTGTCTTCCTCAGGCTGTTTGTTGTGTACTGATAGAGATATTGTCCTCCAGGTCTGCCAGCCAATCGACATCATGAAGCACCTACAGGACAGCCTGAGGCAGGGTCGTACCATCCTGACCATCCCGTGGGTGGTGGAGTACCTGAGCATGATGGACCCCATGGCTCCCAAACTGGACTCCTACAAGGAAATCCTCTCCATTCTCTTGCACATTCACAGGTACAGTTTGAGCAGTTTTTTGAAAGCTTTACGTACTTCTTCTTGAAGCATAACATTTGTTTTTCAAACCAATTACCAGTAATCAAATCTGAACTACCTGTAAAAAAACAATAGTTAGGTATGATATTTTTATGCATATATGTTTTGTAAAACTGGACATATTTAAAAAAAAAGCATTTTAAATGAAACTTAACCAATTCTGTATGTTTTATTCCAGATCCATCCACCACTCTCCGTCCAGTTTCCTATCCACCAGCCAGCTACTGGTGCTGCTGATGCTAGGCTGGCTGTTCCAGGTCCCAGCTATCCTGACTAACATGATAACCCTCCATCCTGATGCTGACGAGCTGGTAGTTCCCAACTTTAACAGGAACAACTGTATCTCTTTGGTAGGTTTACATCTGGTGTATGGTGTAGGTCTTGAGAGGTTCACAATGGTTTTATTTCTGAGATGACCTCTCCACCGAGAAATCATGACACTGCAAATATGTGTTTCCATTGTATTACTACTGTACTTCAGAAATATTACAGTATATAGTATGAAAGATACTGTCTTTGGTGATTGAAAATTCCTGTAATTTTTCCTGTGAGAAGATTTCTGAACAGTGGTGTCGTTTATCCTTCTAGGACTCCATTCAGGTGGTTGATCAGCAGCTTCTCTACACCTGCTGTCCCTATCTAGGTAAATACTTCCGTTGTTCTTTTTTTCAAAACGTGTGTCATTGTAAAGGGTGGGATTAGAATATTTCTATGCTCAGATAACAACAAATACAATCAACCATTTATGATGAAGGTCCATGTCTGTAAAGACCTAAAGAAATAGGCGATGATTACCAGTACAATAAAAAAAAATGTTTACAAACAATACCAATATGATAATGTGTTTGCTGCCCGTCCAGGTGAGCTGCGAGCTGTTCTGATGGAGTATGATTCAGGCATCAGCTCAAAGGGCGGCTCCTTCAGGAAGATCACACCTCTCTCCTTTAACCAGGAGCCCAAGGAAGTGTCCAAGCAACAAATACAGGTATAGCAGACACCACAAAAGCCTTTCGTGCTTACCCTTCATAAGGTGTTTGTTGAGGCAGTGAATATATTATCATCTATATTACAGTATTACATATATTACATTATACTACATCGTCATTATCATTTATGTGACATATTTTGTTGGTAGAAATGTTGTGTTTCCGTTTGCCTTTAAGAATTTAAGAGTTAGTGATGCTTGAGGAATACATCTCCATACATGTATTTGGATATCTCCCACTCCCAGCTCCAGTTGGAGGAGAGTTTCTTCCACAACCAGCCTCCGTCCCTGAAGAGAACAGTGGACTTTGTGATTGAGCGGGTGTCGTCCAACTGTGCCAAACACGTGCGAGCAGCCGTGGTGCAGACCCTGGTCCAGGGCAGGAGGGAGGACCTCAGGACAGGGATAGGGGACATCATCGAGTCTGAGGAGAAGAAACTAACCAAGGAGGTAACAGGGATTACTGGTATCACCATATGTACAGAACGTTCAGAGTTGCACATCTTTTTAAACACAAGTTGTTGCTTTCTGTAATTAATGAAGGTATACATTGTGCTGTTCCAAATGTTGTTTTTGTGTTTTGCAGGAAAGAGCAAGAGAGAAGACCAAAGCCACAAAACCTATCATCACAGCTGTGGTGGAGGAAGCCAGACCTCAGGCAGAGGAGGCAGGGAAAAGGTCTAGCATTTGCTTTGGCATTAGTCTGTTGAAATATCAATATATATATGCTTTAGGAATCTGAAAAATGTTGTGCTTTCTAGTAAGCACCAGGACAGATTTTCTAAATGGGCATTTCAGACAACTATACATGGCTTGATTTTACCCTTTTGTGCTGTCATTCAAAAATGTGATTTCTCACTGAATACAGATTTTGTGAGACCAAAGTGATGGAAGCCTTGAACAGCCTGGTGGCAGAAGAGATAAGCCCACAGGTTGGTGTTTGCTTGTTGTGGTTAGGGATGCTCCAGGAAAACTGTCTCCCTATGCCCTATATTTATGTGTAATTTATCATTTTAATGTACAAGTATAAAAAGCAGAGAGAATTTCATAATGATGGACCTCTGTAACAGCATACTTCTCCCCATGGAAATCAGATGTATCAAATGTATAGCCATAAGAGTTAACACTGCTGCTATTGTTCCTGGTGTTGTTGTTGTTCACTATTTTACTTCCATTTATTTCAGGTGGTGAAGACAGCACGAGGGATTGCCTTCAGACTAGCCAATGACAAGGTGGTGAGGTGGACAAGGGACAAGGTGCCAGGTATGGAATCAAGCTGCAGTCTAACATGAAATGATATAGGCATATTTGTCATGAATATGAGAGACTAAGAATTATGTTCTCATAAGCCATGGAAGAGATGGGTAAGACATTACCTAACTTATTTGTTCTCAAGTTTCCCTAACTGTCGTCTTGGCTGTCTGTTGCAGCTCTGATACAGAAGGAGGTGGAGGCAGAGTATGATAGGCTGCTGAAACAGGCAGCAAAACAACAGGCCTGTCCACCCAGAACAAGTGCTGAAGCTGAAGAAAAACCTGAGCTGGAACCATCTGCAGTGTTGGAAAAACTAAAGGTGAGCATCTTTCCTTAGTTGATATTATTCAAAGACATAGTTGACAACTGATCGTTCAACATGTTTGAAACATTGACGTAGCTTTGTATCTTGATTCTGTAGTCCACATGGCTTTGTATGCCTACTAGATTTCTTACAATAAAATCAGATCAATGCTCATGCAGATATCTTTTACCCATACTAGCAGCATCAGACTTATTTGTATGTGATATTTGACCGATTCATATAGGATTTGCTGGGAAAGGTGTTCTCTCCTGGAGGCAGTCAAAGTGGTGAGTCAAAATTCACTATTCCCAGACAGATACAACACTCAATGATAATCCAAGCAGTTTTGTATCAATGATTGTTTCCAGGAGTAAGAATTTCTTGTATAGGGGTTGCTTAGAACATATTTAATCTGTATTATGATCTATGTTTTGCTTGTTCTTCAATGTGTCTTAAGTTTATGAACAATGACCTGTGTGTCTTGTGGTTCCCAGTCTGTGAGAGTGACTTTGTGGATGTGCTTACCAAGATCAGAGACTTACTGCAGAGCAGTCAGGTAAGGAACAGTACACTGCTTAGTTAAGGGACAATGTGTATGTCTCAATGTATTCTTCACAATTACAAAGTACTTGTATGCAAATCCCTCATGTTCTCTTTCACTCTGCAGCTCTATCTGTACCATCTAGTTTTTCATGTTATCATTCTTTATATGAAACATGTTACTGAAGTTGAGTCTTTTCTTTGATGCCCTGCAGGAGATCTTCACCTCCTGGCTGAAGTCCCTGTCCCGCCTGAGTGTAGAAGCCGCTGCTGCTTATAGTGAGTATCTGCTACAAACGTCTCATACAATGGCATACTCTTCACGTCCAATGTTGTAATTTTTTAACACCATGCCAATTTTGTTTGTAATGCAAGAACTGAATATGACCATGGATGTGCAGTGCTTTTTTCTTTGCCATTCCTTTTATGGCTAAAGTTGGTTTGTAAACTTACAGTTACTCTCATTTCATTGTATGGACATTTGTTGTTGTTTTTTTTGCAGTAATTTACAGCCTAGGGAACCAGCAAAGCAAGGTGTTCTCAAGACTTCTGGAGATCTGGGCCTGTGATCTGCCCCTCCCTCCTCCCTTCCAGAATCTTCTGGCTCCTAAAAACATCTTGTTGTTACAGCAGAGATCATCAAACATGCAGGTACAGCAGCTTTTTTGTATAGTCTGTGTCAAATTTTATGTAGGATTAACCATGTAGGATAAGTTATAATCTACAGTCCTTTTACTCAGGCCAGCTGGGCAGGAATGGCGCAGATCCTCCGCATGATAGTTGAGAAGAGATTGGTGTCTGTACACAATGTGGACAGCTGGTGGACATCGCTGCTACAGAACCAGTCACTGCAGGTAAGGCTGTTTTCCAGCTTACAGGGCAGGGCCCATGTTCATGTTTTCGCTACTAGGTTATGATTTGGATCCAGCATTTTTTTTTCACTGCAACCTGGGATGATTTTTTAAATTTTTATCAACCCACTGGAGCCCAAGAAAAGCCAGACAGGTGCTGGGAGTCCAAAGGACCCTGCATGAAGGTGAAAAATAGCCTATAAGCTACCTGGTTGGGCATTACGTTTAGAAATGTGACTGAAGCTTTGTAGTGTTATATTAAAGAAGAGCTTTTTCAACAGGATTTGAAATCAAAATGACCAACAGCTACTTACCACTGTCAAGATAAATATGTAAGATAATGTCATAATATTGCAGGGGTACAGGAGAAACATTGCAGCTGCTGCCTGTGACTCCATGTTGGGCTGCCTGTCTGTTCACAAACCTGATCCAGCAGGTGAGACTACAAGGAATCCAAAGTTTTCAGATCATAGTTAACAGCTAAACTTCCAACAGAAATCATTCATTTCTACAGTTTCCCATCATTTGTTTTGATACCATGTTGAAATGAATTGTGAATGTTACTATTCTTTTGTGAAGAAGAAGAGGAGGATGGGACCTTTGCAGAACTAGCAGAGCTGATACTGGAGAACAGTGGGCATGATGAAACCATGGCGGGAAAAGTGCAGCAGTGCATCGATCTACTCATAGGTTCTTCTGATGATTCCAGACCCTGACTTAGCAATATCCGAACATGGGAAGGGCAAAAAGTCCCTCTCATTCACATGATGTGCAATGAGTTGTAATATCTATGTATCCTAAGGGTAAATTAAAATGTATACTAGTCAATGAAATGTTTATAAGAATGTGCATTTCTGTGAAACCTACTTCCTGTATCAACTTTTTATAAGCAACTTTATTGAAACACCTGATGGTCTTGCAAAGTTGGCTAAGCTATTGGTAAGTCTACTGAACTCGAGCTTCCATGACATTATAGCTAGTATATGTCAGTCATATCAAATTATATGCTTAATGCTTAAAAGAAAGGTACTATTCTGACAACACAGTCTTGAGAGATAGAACTTGCTGCATGAATGGAATATACACTTTTACAGGCACCACTAGAGAAAAATGACTTTATCTTTGTACTTAAGGAAGATACATAGGTTTCCCAAATACAAAATTGTGAGCAATTGTGAAATGTACTGTTAAACAGAAAGAAATTATTGTTAAAATATGCCTTGTAACAGAAATATGTATAACATAACTTGATAATGGCAAAATTTTTATATCTAAAAAAAGACAACAAATTAAAAACAATTGACCCAAAGTCCTTTTGACTGGAATGTGTTTTGTGTGATGTGCAACATGTACTGGTAGTAATAACTGCATAGGACTAAAGACTCATTTCATAAGGGAGTAAGCACATTACCATTGTGTTTAATACAGTGTTTCATGTAACATTTTATTCATACAAAGACCTACCAGTGGACTAGCCCCCTGCTGTAGTGACTGCTGTGTGTGCCCCAGGGATAATGAACAGAGATGGGTGCCGCCCTATGTGTCACGTGACGCGGGAAGACTCTTTAGCTTTAAAGACCTCATGGAAAGTTTAAGAGCACGACCTCTCTTACATCAGTTGCTCCAGGTTTATACCAGGCCGTAACTTCACATAACATAGACAACTGCCATTGTCCCTGTTGAAGGACATCTCTTTCATTGATCAATATTACAAGGACATCCATTACATAACAGCTATTTAAATTACATCCATGTATATCCCTCCCGAAGACCTACACTCCTGAATAGACACCTGATTTCTCAGCCTGCTCTAAGACTGCCTGAAGGCTTGTATCGAACAGTTCACATCGGATGGGCATGTCCAGGGCATAGAAGGAGTTCTTCAGAGCGTAGTCTGCGTACAGCTCATGCAGCCTGT